GGGATAGCCTTAACCAGGCTACACATCCCAATGACTAAATGACGAATCCTTGGAGCTCAGCAACTACTGAAGTGGGAGATTCAAAGTCTCATGTTTGTTATTTTTAGTCAGGGCTACAAAATCTGAACCACAGATTGACACAGAACCACAGTTTGGTCTCCCTCCTATCCTCAAGTGGATGCGCACTGAAACAGGTAAGTTTCAGCCGTAACCAGCTGAAGCATTTTAGGACCCTAGTCCCGTATATGTAAGTACTACACTTATTCTCTGCAGGACAGTACTGTCCCCCCGAACAGCGTGCTCTCTGATGAAGCCAGTCGCTGAGCAGTCCTCCCTGCCTGGTTTCGGTTAGCGACAGAACGATATGTACATCTCCCCAAATAGACCTTATCCTCTGAAAGGGACAAAGAGACTGATTAGGCGCGGCTTTTATCAAACTCTAGGCCCAATCGAAGCACTGTTATGAGTACGATTTTTCGCATCCCTCTCCCTTGAGGGGATGGAACTAAGTTTATGTTTGAGATGAAGAACGAATAGAAATTACCAGTTCGGTGAAATCACCTTTACAATTTTGTTCAAACTGGACAGCTGAGCAGCAAGTAGCGTGGGGAAGTAGTAACGTCAATCACACAAGGAAACCCTCATGGGAGTGAGTCCGGCCTATCAAAGTGATTTCACCGGTGGTCGGAAAAACAACCTGGAATTAAACGGATATTGTCACAAAAGGTACGATGCTTTTCTTTTTGCCTTTAGCAGTAAATCCACCTTATGCTCGGCTCTCATTTTTATTGTGATGCTGGCTCTATTCTCAAAAACGCATCATCATCATCATCATCATCGACAACAATGAAGAGTACCTCCACCTGGAAACAGCAATGAGGTGAGGCATATGGACATCACATTAAAGTGAGGTTGACCCAACATCCTATACATATCCCAATCATAAATAAACTCAGTACAAGTGGAAAGACAAACGTCAGAAAAACAATGCCAGCGAACCCATCAATGATACGGTTTCGTGCCATATTCTTTCTGGTCACTGAACCCTTACTGTAGATCATAACTGACAACTAACAGTCCCGCTAAAAGATCAGTTAGTTCTCGGCAAATACACTCAACTGCATATCAATCTTGTTTTCACTGGTGACAAAGCTGAATCTCTCGTTTATGAATGTGCTGTACAGAGGCCGCCTCACGTTTCAGTAGGCATGATATTAGATAACGATTTGGTGCCTCCACGTGCAATCATTACCCGAAACTTGGGACAAGGGATGGTTAAACGTACAAACACGAACGACGGTGTCTCACTGACCAGATCAAAATGAATATTCCCAGTCCAGAAATAAGTCATAAATCCCCGGTGTCCCTTAACCAGAACCAGGGCCCCGCGGCATCGACTTTAGCAAGAAACTTACTCAGACTGACAAACAGTGTTTGGACCACGGAGTAGATGAGTTCGTTTCATCCTCGCTGATGCTATCTCGTAGCCCATGCACCATCGTCCATTGTCTTTCGACCTATTCACATATTCATACAGATTCAATACGTTCTTACTATTGATCCCCCCCACACACACACACCTAATCCCACTTCTGCCCGCTACTGTGGTCTCTAGTCTTGCAAAGTAACCTTGGCTGCCCGATGGCACTCGGACTTTGTTGCCTATGTGTCCTTCACAGTTATTGAGCTCATTTGTAATAAATAGCCGTTGATTTCCTTTCCGGCTTCAGTGTCTTCTATCTTGTAGACTTCGAATGCGTAGGTTAGTTTGGTCCTACTGCACAGCCGGAGAAGGACGACACAACACCCAGGGGAAATAAGCCATGAGTAATATTGCTGACCGGTAATGAACAAATCCAAATTTCAGAGTGGCTCGAAAGAGACACAGGAAATGTCTCTCCGACTGTACACTTCACAAGCAGCGAAACGATAGGATAGCCTAGCTTGAAATTCACTTTATGTTCGGATGATTACCAACCCATCTTTACGGCAGGACGTGACCGGAATGTTACTCAGTCTTTATCCGACTCATGTGAAACGTCACAAGTTATTGCAATTTACATAGAGGAAACTACTTACAAGGTTGCTGAAAACTCTTCGACAGCCCACGATCGGTTTCGCCCTTCTTGGGGCAATTTAGTTGAAATATCTCCTACTTCAACGACTGCGTCCACATTTATGGAGAACGGGGTTTTGACTTTAGCTACCGGTTATTTGCTACCTTGAGTGGTAGACTGCTTTCTGAATGCCCAAATTCAACATGAAGCTCCTCTCGAAAGAGATAAAATAGATCAGAAATGAGGATGGATGTACCGTAACTCCAAATACGAATAATCATGTGGTTAACTTGCAAAGCGAGTTATATTTCGTCGATCACCGTAGGTGTGTTGTTTGAAGCACCAGCCAATCGGACACCGCTGCGTCACGTGATTTTGCATTTTCTCCGGTACAGTTTGACATTTCAACATAGGGCTTAGGCAAATAATCATCACGCTAAGGCGATACTGCCTGAGTGACCTATTGGGGTGACGATCTTCATTCGGACGTGTTACTATATGAGCTCGGCATTCCGAATTTTGAGAAGGCGAGGTAAGATATATGCAGTCGAGCGATGAAAAAACTAGGAGCNTGGAGTGTGGGGAGCAAGTGTTCTGTGAAAAAAAACTCATGATGGGTCGAAGCGAACATTTCTAGCCTATGACTGCGTTGGTGGAACATCGCGACAGACGGCATGGCGACCTAAATCAGGCAGACGGAAAATCACATCAAATTGGTTCGCTAAGCTTTCCTTTCCTACAGGCAAAACTTGAGTAATGATCACACGGAACACAACACGCTTATCGAGGTTAAGCCAACAGCTACAATCCTCGCGGCTGACATAACCCGAGAAAAGAATGATCACAAAGTATACTTCAATTAATCTGTTGCTGAAATTGTACCTATAGGGGGTCGATAAACCAGACAGCAAGAATCAGGGTGAACAATATAGTCTGACGGTTCTTTAGTCACACTACTTCCAACATGTTCCAATCTACGGAAGTAAGAAAAAGCACACAATCGTGTTTTGGATGTGGGAAGGTATCCTGTGGTTGGATTTCCCATGGAGCAGTCTGTTAGCAGTGAACAAGAATGGCTGTTGGAAATTTACTTTCCAGAACGATTCGACGTGTCGATATGTCACTCATAAACAGTAGAGTCACAAAAACGTTTCCTCCACTGCCATGGTAAACGGTCGGCCTGGGCGTTGCGCCAGATTTTTATTGAAGAGGCGTTACGCCCTATGAAAGCGAATTTCAGCGGTAAGCTCAACCTAAGTTACTCATATGAGTTTTGTCCTTTACGTCATTCCTACATCCGATGCTTGCTCCCACCTTGCTATATCGGACCAAATGTGTTTACATAAAACAGTCCTCGGTGGGTACGGTCAGCTTTGCCGTCAAACTACCCTTTATGGTAACTAGAAACCAAACCAACACAGTTTACAGCAAACAAAACCTCCAAAGTGAGAGAGAGCGGCATTCATGCACCCTTTGGGCAGTAATAAGACCTTTGCTTTATCTATGGCATGCTTTATTAGCCCAGATTGCGAAATCAGTTGATGGACCTCGTATGCTCGAAATAAAACTTTCTCATGTCGAATGTTGCAATCCGTAGGTCTTTAACCTCCAGATGGTTTCCCACGATTATTCGTTTGTAAGTTTTTTTTCCGGCCATCATAAAAATTCAGATTCTACGAAACTTCTGCTAATCTATTTCGGTGATTCTCACGTGCTTGTGTTTTGTCACAGTAGTTTCCCCTGTCGCTGTTGCGGCGTCGTATGACGATCAGTTCCACATTTGATCTTTTTGACCGGATGTTATAACAGCATTTTAACGATGTTAGATGAGAGGACTTAGCTTTCCACAGGAACTGTAAGACTTCGCTGTAACAGGAGTCGCTTCTCATATGGGCACCCAAGGAGGCTCGGAAACCAGCCGGCTACAACAGGAAGTTTAATGTGGCAGCGGTGGAGAGTGGGCCCCGATGTCCAGCTGATGGTTTTCACAACGGTGGATTGATTCGATCAAAGAAATCGTTCTTTGAATGCTGCAGTGTCCATCTTTTAAGCGGCAGCTCATTGCTTCCCTTACTGACCGAGTGTTTTCAGCTGACGAGAGGGTAATGTAAACGGAACCGCCAACCTAGTCTCTCCAAATTCCGTTTCATTCATTAATGCGGTAATGCACCCTGATAATTGAATGTCCACAATGGGAGTAGGTACAAGGAATCCATGTTGGCGATTCCAATGTTACCAGAAGTAGACTTTCGCCACCCGTGGAGCTCTGTCAAGTTGGAGAACGGGAACTTGTTATGGGGCCTTGGGGCACGAAAATCAGGAGACTCGTGGGCTACACGGAGGACGGTATAGATCTACTCTTGAGGAGACGAGGACTGCACGTCAGGAACAAGCCTACGTGTACTTAGTGGCCACATACAAACTGGCCCATTTTTAACCGTTGGTCTGTTCACATTCTGGAATTTTGGGCCGATGCAGATGAGCTCTTCTGAGCTCTGCAATTTCTCTTTCATGGTATGGGCACGGGTAACTGTGGGGCGCACAACTTTCGATACGCTGTATTCTGTCTACAACTTGCGCAGTATGCGTGTGGCGCAAGCGGCAGTCACACTTCTTTCATGGTATGGGCACGGGTAACTGTGGAGCTCACAACTTTCGGTACGCTGTATTCTGTGTACACCTTGCGCAGTATGTGTGTGGCGCAAGCGGCAGTCACACTAGTCACTTTCAAGCTCAGGCACACGGATTGCATTCTGATGTGTGCATGATGCACAGAAAATCCGTAGCCTTGATGATCGATCACAAACACGAACTAATCACATGGCGCTTGAACCACGCAGCCAATAGCAAGTAAGCGGTGTAATTGTGAGCCAGACAGCTTGGATCAGGCTGGCCCTGAGGTTAAATGGTGTCTAAGCGGCCTCATTCAAATGTCCGTACCGGTTGGGATATACTGTGGAGACCTCAATTCATGCGTGGTAGGAAGCAAAAATGGCAAGCTAGTTCCTCTCGAGAATGATCGGTGTGAAAAACTGAATCCGTAAGTTGACTAGTGCTTGCTACCATTTGACGTCGTTCAGAACCATTGTGACGTTCCATGACCAGTACTCAAAAGCTGGTAAGGTGGCTGAAGAACATATTGGGAATGGACCAAACACAATATGGTGCTTTACCCATCTGATTGGGAATCAATTCGATAAAGATATGTGCTCCTATAAGGTGTCGACAAACCCTCATGGGGACATCGCCATTATTGTAAGCTCCTTCGCCATATATACTTTGTTCAAGATGAGTAACGGACAGAAGTTCGTGGTTGTACAATTAGTGGCAATGATTATTGGGGAACTAAAGATGATCGCGGAGAAGTCATCAAGACCATATGCTGTGAATCAAATTGTACTTAACACACCTGTTTTCTACGGTGAACGAGAAAGGAGTTCGTTAGTTATGGCCTGCCGAATCGCCGGGATTGAGCATATACGCTTGGTGGATGATCTAATGGCAGGTAGATCATTTTTCCGTATATACATACAAAGTTGCCCATCAGTTGCCACTTTACATGCTATCAAGAATTTCGGAAATCCTAGTGACAGCAAGCAATATAGGAATGTAGCTTTCGCAATCGTGGAACACACGTGCGTGCAGGTGATGATCTGTACGTTGAACAAGAAACAGACAATGGTCTGCTCAACCAAATACGACCGCAACCTAGGCGGATATGCTTTTGACACAATTTTACTGGATCATCTAAAACGGAAAGTAAAGTATCTCGATACGTTTTTATCACAATTGGCACACTCAGTTCGACTTGAAAGGAAGAGAATTGGAGGGAATGAAAGCTTGTCAGAACAGCACACTTGATCCATCTGGAAATATGGTGATAGGCATCGACCAAAAGACTGTCAAAATAGAACTTCAAACGTATCAGGTAAGATCATGATATGTGCTGCTTATCGGGGTTGAAGCATCTTGTCCAGCCTCTTCTAGATCGGTTCCAGGAACTGCTGAAAACGTGTTTGGCTCAGTCGACTTTGACGGCCGATGACATACACGCAGTGGAATTATTTTGTGACACAAGATACAACCTCGTCTTGTGCAACATCGTCAGTCGTGTGTTTGGTGGTAAAATGGTTTCCACAACACCCTTGGAGGAAGCTATTGCATATGGATGTGCTTTGACCGTGAGTTGGGATTAACAGTAAACGGTGATGCAACATTGTTCTTCTGAAAAATAACATTGAGAAATGAAAACTATTCACTAGATATCACATAACCCCGGAGTAAGTGGATGAGGTGAAACCACACACGAGCATGTTGAGTTGTTTCCAGTGGATAATGTGTTACGAAGCAGCGCAGGTTCCCCTCTGTTACCTCCCAACATATCCCATCAGTTTTAATCACTCTGGCGACCAAAATAAAACAGCATACGTCAGCTTGTGATGCATGTCTAGATAAAAGTAGTTTTTGGTGAAAACCACGATTAAAATGAACGTTTCTATCAGTACTACACTGGTTCGAGACTGATTGCGGTGGTAGTAACTCAACGTTCAAGTAGAACATAAGGTTGGCGGACATTTGGGAACCGTGTCTACCTGATGAGCTCCAAAATGAATGAAGCCGGTCGTGGGCTTCGAAGGGTTTTCAGCAACCTTATGAGTAGTGTTTTACGTCTATGAAATAACTCATTTTCTTATTGAAGTATTTGATTATCTTTTAAAACGGTCCATTAGGATATTACAGAGGGGGGTTGGGATTCCTGATGGAGAAAGATCTCCAAACTACTCATTTTCTTATTGAAGTATTTGATTATGTTTTAAAACGGTCCATTAGGCTATGACAGAGGGGAGGGGTGGGATTCCTGATGGAGAAATATCTCCAAACGAAACGCGTGTGATCAGCTCCATGAATGCACACTGTTGTGAGCCATTAATAACGAGTTGGGGTCAAGTTGAACCCCATCTTTTCCATGATGAGGACTCATTCTAGGTTATACTATCCAGAAGTAATCACTACATGGTGATTTAACCGTCACTTGATTGCACTGACTATTTTTTTATTCTTTTGGTTTCCACTTATGTCCTGACGGTGCTCCAGGACTGGAATTATCTCGTGTTCTTCGGAATACTCATTTTATTCTGCAGGCAGCAGGACATGCGTTAAAGTCTTTTCGGACCGAACGGAGATTGCCGTTTCGTCCATCCTCTGGATTATCGAAAGCGGATCTGATCAAGTGCAAAGCAATCAACGTAAGCAGCACAGAAATGTTACCATTTTCTCAATTGGTTCTAGTTCAGTACTCCATGGCTTCCTCAAACGGAATGGTAGCAATTTCAACCAATGGCGATAATTGTAACCGAATAATTTAGGTTCATGCAGTTGCGTTGTCCTTCCTTTATTCTCCCGTTTTATCTGCTGAGATTGGTCAGGTATGGTGGCGTATGGCCGAATTACGGCCAGCCATTCCATCCACTCCTTCCAACGCTATTCAAGGACGTTTATGAAGCTGTTTATTTCGCTTTGACAAAAATTTTCAGGCTCATTTGTCAACAAGAATGCATGCTGGAAAACTGGTGCCAGTCATCCTTTGTAGCTTCATTCAAAAAAGGTACCAGAGGTGGCTAGTCCAAATATAAGGGCATAGGTCCAATCTTAGTCATAACTTGCTCATAAGGCCTGACGCCTGACCTGGTCACACGCGATGCAATTCCGAGAGCATCACGCATGAGTTCGACCAGATAGCGGGAAGATTTCCGCCAGAAGGGACTCGAACACAAAGGAGCCTTTGAGTCCATGAAAAGGTTGTCTACTCTACATATACCTAACCAACGACGAATGCCCTTGAAGTTCTTGAAGTTCCTCTGTTCTCTGTGTTCCCCTTCTTCTAGTTCCGTTAGAGATTGAAATTAGCTGTCAGAAATTTCCCTAAAAACTACTGGGGTTCAATGTGGCGGCGGCCCCCCAACTTTTGTGAAGCTTGTCACTCCCCAGGGGACTATGAATCTGGATATCAAAATCACATCTTGAAAGAGATTAGTGTATTTAGGCCGTCAGAACAACATTATTATGCTATTTAGCTTTCAAGCATTCATACAAACTACCTTCGGAATTGGTCATGCACTTTAAGCTATCAAAATGTGATATACTGCTTCAGAACTTGTTGAAAACTACAAAACTAAAAGATTCACTGTGTCGATAGGTCTGATTGTCTTAGTGACTGTATGGGCCAAATCATCAGAGCAGTATTCGTCGGAGTGCGTCATGTTTAACGACACTAAAGTTCTGCACTGCTATTCCAGTGCTAGTTGTCTCCACCAACTTTTGAATAATCTCAGACGTTCAAGTAGAACATAAGGTTGACGGAAACTCGGGGACTGTGCCTACCTGATGAGCCTTAAGAAGGGCGAAACCGGTCGTGGGCTGTCGAAGACTTTTCAACCAGACGTTCCTGTTTATATGAAGTGATTCCTGTGTCAATCCATTTTCATTAGATTATTCGTACCGGAGTCAATATCCCTTCTGGATGCTGCCGAGTCAAGTTCATTCTCAAACCCGTTTTCTTGAACTATTTTTAGTTCTCATTTGACGTTCGACCAATCTCCACTGTACACTGCACTCAGATTTGAACAAACCTTCGTGAGTCGGTACTAATTCACACGACCTCTGGGTTGGCTTACATGTTGCTTATGGTGGCAGTTGAGTTGGTAGGTACCAACGAGAAGGGCAAACTCTTTCGATGCAATTACAAGCAGTTACAAGCCATTGGACACGAAAGTAAACATCTCATCTGCACAGAGTTGTTGAAAATGAACATTCCACTGCATCCTCCGGGACTTTCCTGGATGTTCATTGACTGTTAAACAATAGTCAACAAACATTGCAAAACACTTCGGTAGTTCCCGTAATAACCTTCACTTTCCGTCAGATGCGGGGGTGGAGCTACTCCACCAGACCATAAGCTACTTGCATGCTTCATCAGTAGTATATACGGTTACATCAGTTGTTAATTGCTCCTTTGCCATGTGTGCATTACTTGTGCTGGGTAAAGTATTCAACTTCAGTCAACTAAAAGTGAATGTTTCGCTTAGCTCACAGGCATGTCCGAACGGATATTCGTGATTTAAACACAAGTTTGAGTGCACGCACAGCCAACTAAGGTGGACGTTATATTGGGCTCATACGTTCCAAACAGTCACGGTCAAAAAGTGCACGATAGAGGAGCAGGGCTACAAGATCAACCACACCTAGGACACGCATTCAGTTAACCAATTTAATGTGAGCTAAACAAGTTCCTCAAGATTTCTCCGTCAACTTAAACAAGCCTATGTTATGCATGCTTGCCTCATTAAGTTTGCTGTGTAGATCAGTGTGCGCTGATCGGTTAACCACCCTCAACCAGTGGCACATTTTCGCCTTACTCTTCTTGTTTCTGCGTGGACTGTTTTCTTCTGTTCTTCCAAACTAACTGTGATCAAAGGTGACAACTTGAACGCATATTCATCAGAAGGCATTTCAAGCTAGGGAGACATGCAAGGTGCTGTTACTTTCCGCTAAGATTTTCGTTTATTTTTTGTTAAAGGGGCAGAAGTCAGCGATATTGAAACTCTCTGAGTTTGTTCTAATTGTTTCTCCCAGACAGTTTTTATAGATTCAAGGTTCTCCTTCAGAAAANTCAGAAAAAAACTAGAGCAATTTTATGGATATATAATTTCTAGAAAGAAATCGAAGCCCATGCGCAGCATACGGGGGAAGTATGGTCCAGATTGAATCAACTGAAGGGTGAAATATTGCAAGCAAATAGTACGATAGCCTCGTGGTCCGAATTCGCATACCTAAAAGACATCTACAATGCAGCAAAGGATGACAGTGACTCGATGGATGCGTGGCTCGAACAGAACAAATCATCCCGCCAGATCGAAGAGTTCGACACAAGAATTGCCGAGTTTTCCGAAAAAGTGCAGAATCACAAGCAGAAAAAATGCGAGGCTGAGAAAGTGTGGGTGAGTCAGTTGTATTTGAAGTGATGGTTGCATAACACAAGCGTTGTTAACGAAAGCTATGGACATTAACTACCATAGTGAAGTGTATTTGATAGGATATTACCGAAAATAAAATTGCTGTGAACTTGAAGCACCCATGTGGGGACACATTTTGTTTGATGTGAACCAATGAAAGATAACTGCGGACGTCATCGGAACAAAGCACGTAGAGAAAAAGTTTGATTCATTTGATTATTTACAAGCTGAAACACCACTAGTTTGTCTGAAAAAGTAGAACAGTTTACCGCAATGTTCGGAGGTCCTGAGGTTTGGACGGTGAATGGTTACCTCTATTTTTCGCCGTGAAATGGGTCATGACTGAAACCGTTTCAGAGCAGCATTGTTTTGCTTTACAGAAACGCACAATTCTGAGCCTTTTGGCAAGGAACAAACATTTCTGCGGGAGATATTAAGGTATCGTGGCAAAGCCTGAATAACCAGACTGATTTCTGTTCAATTACAAACTGGAAATTGTCGGTAGCCCGAAAAAGTCCAGAAACTCCCATGGAGATTTCGTTTTTTACGTTAAGTTGATCTATGTGGAAAAGTCAGGAAGCACTGTACAGCTATTTCATTCTTTTCAAAATCATCGGCAGTGCGTGTCTAACGAAACTCCAAAGGGTTCCGAACCCGTGATATCCCGACCAGTAGCTTGAACCCCTAAGTGTTCGTTAAAGTGCGGCTGATCATCAGTGTTTTTAACTCGTCACTCGTTGAGCCAGTTAACTCATGTGATCTGGATCCGTTCACTGAAGGATGAGTGGCGCTATACTCTGCCGAACTTTGAGCTATTCGCAAAGTTGGTTAACTGTCCAAACTACCAACATGAAGGTCAAAGTTTGGAGGTTTTCTGGAGTTTCGTACAATCTGTACAATAAGGGTGAAACGTCTGTAAAGTGCTTTCCGCTTTTCAGCGTAGGTGATTGACCTCAATAGGAGGACAAAATCTTCATATTGGATATCTTTCACTTTAGATAAAGAGCCCTCACTCCCCTCTGTTCGACGAAGCTACAAAATGAGTCAAAAGTTACAGATGGGACTGTCATTTACTAGTACACTGGTTTGCGCCTCGGTGTTATGTTCTAGAGTTACACCGTTTCCTATCGGATTCCTCGTACGGAGAAAGAACAATTACGGAAATATGGATCTCGCAATTTCTCGTCAGTATCTCTCAACATGAAGGTTTTTTTGTGAAGGACAATTTTATATACACAACTAGAAACGCAGTGAACCGTACAAATCGTTTTATTCTTCAGGATGCTTCCTAGATGATCGCTACCCTGAAGACGCTTTCTTTTTGCAAGAGATGATAAATCTCAGACCGGAATAACTTGATATCGATTAGGCTGAGCTTCTTTGCTCTGCGACCCATTGAGACTGGGCTGTATTCATCTATTCTGTATGACACGTCTTGTCGTACGACCGACATACAAGAAGAGGCTGGTGTTAGAAAATTGATAGCATACAACTGGTAGAACAGTTTGTGTACGCTTTCTGGTTACTACCGCATGCATACCTGCATGCATGTCGCATTCAGGGGGAGTACAGTCCTACAATATACAGAAAGTACTGAAACGGTCATCGGACGGTGATTAGATGTTCCAACATACTATCAGTACCGGTAAATGATCTTGAAACCTCAAAATAGACAGTATGTCGTTTTGAACCTAATCGCGCACTCCATTATGATTAGTCCTCTGGTGTAGAATCTCTTGAAAAGAAGATTGGCTCTGCCCGAACTCTGATACAGTCCTGGTCACAACCGGCATACCTGCAAATGGTTTACTCCGAAGCTTCTGTCTATGTGCAAGCAGTGTCCGAGTGGTTGGAAAAGAATAAAGCTCAACTTAGCGTGGAGGATCTTCACAATCAGCTGACACGTCTGTGCAGTAAAACTGAGTTTTTCAAGCAACGACAGAACGAAGAAGAACAAAAGGAACGAAGTCGCGTAAGTCCGTGGAAGATGCCTAAGTTTGATTTTCCACACAACAATTGAGATTTTCTCCTTTCTTCAGTCTGATGCCCCCTGGTAGTGCTGTTTTTGTACCGAGCTTATTTGTCATACAGCAATTCCCGGTTAGAAGTTATATATAAGGTCAGTGCCACTAATCGCGTAATTCCAAAATTTAAATGGTTAAAGTTCTGTCGTATCTAGGTGCTCCCAACGCAGGTAGATTAAGCCACATGAGGACAGGTTATCTTAGGGATCTCATTCTAGGTTGGCGTTTCTTCAGGGGGCGCATAGTGAGGTTAACTGGAGAGTCAAGCGAGTGGGACAATGTTTACAAAAACCCAATTTTTACTAGTTGCATTCAGTTTGCTCTTGTCTGAGCAGATTCCAGACCACTCTCTTTTGAGCCATCCTCTTTCTGTCCCCATACATTTATTCCACACGAAATGAAGGAAGCAACTGACTCACACTAGGGATGAACTTCGGTCGCATCCGATTGTAGTAGTGAGGACTTCCCGCATGTCAGCTCTTAGCTTCTTCTATGCAATGTCCAACTATGTTTTGATGACCATTAAGTTAGCTGGTGGTGTCGATTGATTGACCCACCTGTCAGCAGTTCCTTCTTAGACAACATCACAGACGCTTGAAAACTGCGGGCCAGCTCTTTTGATTAGTTGTAGACGGTTGAGCGATTTGTAGATTCCAGACCACTCTCTTTTGAGCCGTCCTCGTTCTGTCTCCATACATTTATTCCACAGTAAATGAAGGAAGCAACTGACTCACACTAGGGATGAACTTCGATCGCATCCGATTGTAGCAGTGAGGACTTCTCGCGTGCCAGCTCATAGCTTCTTTTATGCAGTATCCAACGATATTTTAATGACACAGAAATATAATATGAAAGGGTTCGGGCAAGATTAGGATTTTGTGCCGTAGACAGGTATATGTTATCCTAAGTAAAACTGCTACCTGTGTGGAAAGTTCATTAAACTTTTCTGCGCAGGATTGTATGGAAGACACTCTAGCTGGATATTAGTAGATTGTGTCGACACCTAAGGATTGCATGGTGACCGGATGATGTATATATTGTTTCAGCGTCTCAGGTTTTCAAATCTCCAAGAGGTATTCTGTTTTTGCCATCGAGTATTTAGGCAAGAAAAGTTAGGGGAAATGGGTACAAATACAGTTGCACATATTTCGAAAGGTCATCGGTAGATCAGACTGCTAACAGAACCTTCTCGGTGGTTCGAAAGACACGGTGATGCTTCTCTTCTGTGGTAGTAATGTATAGCTGCATTCTGTTTGATAGTAACTGCACATCACGTTTTCTATGAACGACTCTTTCGGGGAGCAGGTTATCCTGTCATGGGTTTAAACAATGGTCCCTTCATACTAAGACGACCTCTATAGTGCGAAGGGATTTGGTCATTTGTCGAGTTGGTTGCAAACGTGCGGTGTTGCTTTTTAGTTCCCAATATTTGCTCGCTAAATTATCGCCAACAGATGCTTCCATGAATGGCTGCGCTGTGCACCAAAGGTCACTTCGAACATTTGTTGAAATGGCCGTGGTTCGGGAGCTTAGAACCGCTGTATATAAGTTGATATGTATGCCCGTCATATGAAGAACGTGCATTCCACTGCTTTGAATATTCACGTTTGCATTCACAGTTACTAAATAGGCTTAACGAGAAACTGAACTTCATTCGATCCCAACTGGAGAATTGGCGATCTTCACCGTATTTGATGGATTCGATAGCGGATGCAGACACTTTTATGGCCTCGGTTCAGATGAGAAGGCCTCAATTCGCGGCCGCCAGTCTGTCGAATCTCACTTCAGAAAATCTGAAGCTGGATGATTGGTGGAACGGCTTCGAGAACACGGCGGAAAACAGAGTAAGTGAGTTTTTCTCAGCAGATATTTAGGCTTCCTTTGACTCAATTACAATGCAGGAAAGTGGGAAGCCAACTGGCGACCAGCCAGTATTGGCGTTATGCGTACGGCTCAGTACTTGGATTTCCAAACTCGAGTATGCATTTCCATCCCTAAGAAAAACATTTTAGTTGGTCTTCTGAATTTTCCACTAATTTCCGAGCTTATCTATCTTAGAATAGGCCACATCTGATCAACCCTTTAGGCCACTCCTTTGGCTTGAGAAACCGCGTATGCAGCACGTTTTGAAACCTTATTTCCTAACGGCACTGCCAACCTCAGAACCCAACTGACTCGATCAAGGCGCAGTGTATTTGCATGAATAACTGTCTCCATGGAAGAAGCCTAGTTCTTTAAGTAGGAAGGACAGTTGACACCGTAAAATTCATATTTGGATCTGCATTCCGCGGATGTGCAAATTTCTCCAGCACACCGTATAGTCTAGTGGATGGAAAATTGCTCTGCCATTACATTCAACAGTACTACCAAGGGAGTTTAAAGGAATGTAACAGCGATGATAAAGAACTCTGAAAACATAGAAAAGGGTTCAAGTAGACAGATTTCCTTATACAATACTTTTCTCGTGAATGAAGATGTTCGTTCAACGCTTTTTAGCTGACCACCGGCTTTCGGAGCGTTGGATTACATAGTAAACTTGGGACTGGCTAATTGATTGACCTTTGACCTTTTTCAATGCACCCAGAGAGACATTCGAATAGCCTAATCCAAGATGTACTTGAATCATAGTGAATCACAGTGATGGCTTCTTAGCGGAGCTGCTTCAGAAGACGGCAGCCTATCAGTCGGGTTGATATAAATCCCAAATTCAGAGCCGCTGCTTCACATGCTCAGCAAGGGTGGGAACAGCAAAATTCATCCGAGTACTGTTCATCCAGCTGCTAATAATACTACCAGTGAAGGGAAGAGGGTCTTCGCTGCGGAGTTATTCATTATGAAATGCCAACTGACCAGTTACAGACTATTGGACAGGGAAGCAAAACTATCATTTGCATCTTATTTACAAAAACCGAACATCCATCTTCTCTTGAACGCGTCTTCCTGAACTTTCCTGGATATTCATTGACTGTTGCTCAAATCCAAGCAGATGCTACAAAGCGATCCCACAAATTCCGCAACAGATCTCCATTTACAAGAGACGCAACGCGAATTTACAAGAACAAAACATACTACTCGCATGCCTACCCAATAGGGGTATCACCGTTACACCAGTATTAAGGAATCAAAACACAATTGGACTTAGAGTGAAGTTTCAGTTGTGCAAATGTTGATGACCTAGATTACCCAAACTTCAAAACGCTTATACTTACTCGGAAGTTTATCGAGCCATAAACAAGACCACTTTTTTTTCGACAAACTACCTCACCTCATCAACATATTTCATTATCGAAAACACGAATCAAACCTACTTTCTGGATCGTGCGGACGCTGCTCCAGTCAGTATCTTACTACAGTGGTTTGCGAATTTGATCAAGACGCACTCTAAGTCTATCCCTAAAGGAAGAAGATGCTGACAAGAAGCTTATATCTAACCTTGACGAATAATCTGCGGACTAGGTTGCAGAATATACTCCGAGAAGCCTGTCTGTCTGCCCAAATATAGAACTAAATGTGTAGAAATCAGAGGAGTCCGGGCGGTTGTGGAACGAAGAAAAACCTGTCATAGAAAGAACACTTAACCAAATGAAAGCAAACTATAATAATGTTCTGTACTTTTAGTTTGCATGTGTCCAGAAACTCTCGTCTCATCTACAGGAGTCGGATGCAAGTGTTTCTAGACGCATTCAAACAGAAAGTTTCCACGCCAATGGCGCACCATTGTACTAATATTCTCAATCATACCTCCTGCATATTCCGGGAATCTATTACACTTGGTTGTGGCTAGTGTCATCCTAGTTGCTACAGCAGAACGTAATAGTGTTATGTTTCAAGTCACGTGCTTCTCAAAAGCACGGCGTGAACATGGTATCATATCATGTTCCAGTACTACATATATGCCATAATATGGTGCCCTAGCACTCATTTTCGGACGAAGCCGGTGGACAGTCAGGCACAATGGACAGCACCACATACGGGTTCTCCTTCTCCGCATGTGCATACAAATGAAAACCCTGTACCTGGTGCAAACCCGAAGGAATGAGACCGAAGAGTGAACAACAACAGAAAGCAGCAGATCCGACTGGTTACCTACTCAAGAAGCGTATCCTAGGCATACAAATGGTTTATCCAGTCCAAGGCATCGCTTCACTCGATCTATATGACGATGGTTAGAGAAAGTCAAATTTTGCGTCCTTTTTCTGCTTAACACCAAAATATCTAGGGTGCATACCATTTGTAGGCAGCTACCTGAAATACAATAACATACATCAAATCACGACTCAAAACAGTACGTTACACTGTAACACTAACTGGTTTTGAGACAACATTAAACAAACGGGTAGCGTGGCAATCAAAACAGACTTTCTCAGTAGAGCACAGCCAACAGTCACCTTAGATTTGGGGCAGACAGACATAGAGAAAGATTTTTAGCGTGACTGTAGACTCCGAATTAGCCTGGGCATTAAAGCTGGACTCTTCTAACGCATGTAAAAACAGTCTAGCTTTTGAATCCAGTGATATCCACTCTGGATGGTCTACGGGCTAGATTACGGATGAGCCGAACGAGGAATCCATCCGCATTGCGCTCTGCAGTTAGCCATGATTCGAGTCAGGCTAGCGCAATCGAATGGATGCCACATCGACAGCGTTATGCGGTCGCGATGAAACAGGGCGAGATGTTTTTTCTTTACAACTCGTTTCCGTGATTTCTCAGGGCAAAATCGTAACTCAGAATATGGATGCATGTGTAGAAAAACACATTCAGCTGTAGGATAAATGAAAACCGACTCTGTGTGAAAGAGAACAAACACTGGGCGTCTAAACGACTGTATACTCTCGAAGCCAGAGTTTTGTTTCTCTAGAATTTGGTAAAAGCCTCTCGATTTTTGCTTGTAATGGTATCTTATGCATCTCGACCCCTTCGTAGTATTTCAGATAACTTAGAACTAAAGCATTTCAGTGCGGGAGCACAAACTAATACAAAGGCGACATAACTTTACGTTGAACTCGTCGGTTTGTTGTCACTGTCGTTGACAGATGATTTCGGTATAAATCTGATGTTATTGCCGAGTGTTACTTCAAAAACAGTCGTGGGTACTCTAAAAATGTGGAACTGATTGCTCCGTTTACCGTACAAAGCAATGAGTAGATGAGTATTTGAGCTAACAAAGCGTGACCAAGCGAGAGAGAGACATGCGGTGGTAGTGGCGCGAATGTATGTACTCCAAGACAGTCACTTCTGCCACTCTAACAATTCACCATTAATGTGTTCCAAATCTGTCCTTGCACAATCGACTGGCTTGAATGTGGTCCATCAACCATTCTATAAGGAAAGATCCAACTGTAAGCTACTGAACTGTTGGTGAGTCGGACGATTTTCAGACACAATCATTCTGGAAATTTTTGCCGTTTAGAAACCTTCTTGACAGGAAATTCGGTGAAACAGCGCTCTGCTAGCTAGTGTGCTCTAAACAGGAAAAAGCAGCTTGAAATTGACAAGCACTGCCCCGTTTAATTTTGGGGTTGGGCGTGAACACATTTCGCTGAGTTGGAGAACTGTCTTCGACCTAATTTTTACTCGAATGTTCACGAACTATTTGATCAGTCAGACTCACACTGTCGACTGCTACTTGTCGTTTCAAGTGAAGCAAAGGGGCACATATTTAGGTCTCGGAAAACGGCTTAGAATGCTACTAACTTCACTCAAGTCATTGATATGTTGATCCTCTTGGGTCATCGGTAGGACGGGATTTTTTGAGCAGGGCAACTTTTCAGTCTTCCGCATTTTTGGTAGCAGGGTATCAGCTATAGATGTTTGCGAGATCTACAGAACTTGCATCCATATCACTCTCGTATGAATAGTTCAGATCCTATTCTGGAGTTTCTGATGAGTCCACACCAAAGAGTCTTGGACTGAGAAGTCTCAAATAATGGAGTTCATTCAGCTGTACGATGAACGGCAGTCTATGAGAGGTCATACGGAAAAAGAGACTACGAGAAATCTATTCGGAATTCATATAAGTGGAGCTTCACCTGGTCATCTATTGTGATTTGAGCATATAGTGAAAGTTGCAGAAACATTCGGGCAAATGACGTAAGAGAATTTAGTTAATGTTCCGCTACGATGACCACAACCACTGCAGCCTGGCTATATAGACCGAAAGTGTTCACTGAATCGGGTGCATTAGTGCAAACTGAGCAAGATGAAAACCTTGTTAGTTGCACGGTGGATAAAAGACATGATGCGCGATTTGTCCACCATAAACCAATTCATCACAAAAAAGTAAAAGATTGTAGAAACTGTGCAGCGGCCTTCTTAAAGCGACATATGCAACGCTGTAAGGACATCAGTCTTGCCACGAAACTGCTTAAATACTGTTCACTGTTTAGTAGAGTCAGGTGAAACAGACTGTTCGAGATCATAGTTGGTTTGAATGCGGCTTACGGAAAACCAAAACGGGACCCGTTAAATGGCTGTTTGATAGATGTGTTCGATACGAGACATTTTAAAGCTTGATCTCGTCGTAAAATCACCCTTGCTTACAGTAAATTCTTCTAGAAAAGCTGAGGACAACTTTTTCATACGAAGCAATAGTGTTCAAGGTGACTATTCCCTATATTCCTCCTTTTTCCAGTGCGGAGTGTTTCATACCGAAATATATTTCGTACACGAACCCACTCAGAAATCTCAAGCTTCCCAAAACAATCCGTCTAAATTAAAAAAAATCCATCTTACTACTGACTAACGAGTCAAGGCCTCGACTGGCTGCTGCTCTTTCAGTAGACTGCTGATTTAAGTCCATTAATTTCCAAAGAATCCACAGGGTTAGTGATTTAATGAGAATAA